TTTCCAGCATCTATCCTTGTAATGTCTTCTGGTCCACTCTCACCATGTTCAACCAAAGCGCTGTCTTACTTTCCTCTGAATGACATATGGAATTTGCCAGTTTATGAAATACGGCTTTCCAGTATGTACACCAATATTCTGTTGTGAGCTTTTCGGGACATCAGATAAGTGGTACTGAGGTACATCATGTGACCTTCCGATATAATGCTCTTCTCCATTCGATCAGCTGGTCAGCTGCCTTAAATGACGTTGCTCGGCCATGTTTTTGTACGGTACCGTATTCGGATGGCGACGACCATGCAGCGGTCAGCCTGCTACTTATCAACCAAAAAGTGGAGACCTTATTTGTCAATATAGTCGTGACTGACATCCACCTGTATTCTTGATGCAGCACAGGAGATGCTAGAATATTTTTATTCATTGCGCAGAAATTACGGTGTGTTCCCTATTTCCACCGCAATCCCACGTTTTCGTGTTCAAAAATGTCCGAAATAAACAAGCCTTGTGTGAAATGTGTGTTAAACAAGCCACTCACCTTTATGAGACTTGCTTGAAGTTCACGCAGTCTTTTTAGACACACAGCAGGAGCGTTTTGCGGTGACCTTTGCGCGAACACGATCAATTTATTATGGTTAACTTCTTTGAACTATGGACTTTGCTGGCGGATTTTTTGGGGTCCCTGGAGCTATAACAAATAAAATTTCCCCAAAATAGTAACCGAGTATCTCCCGATTTGAGAATCTGGATTTACCAAATCATTATTTTAGTGTGCACGGACTAATAAGGAACCAACATATGGCTCATTAGCGGTGAATTCGCAATTCGCTTGATTTGGCCTCTGTATATGAACCGCTAGAAGCAATGAAACTTCTGGCTGTTGCTTTTCAAGAATCCTACCAGTTGTTAGCCCGACTGCTTCGTTGGTACCTTCCTCGCGGAACGGGTGGACAAATACATTCCACCGCATTTTCGCAGCACCACTTTTGTAACCGGCAACAACAGTCATATAGTAATACTGATAGTCTATTCAACTGTCTTACAGTACATGCTTTTAAGGAACAACCTGTGGCCGGTTTTCAACACTTTTCAACGGGCAGCACCTTCCGCTTCTCATTAAAGACGACAACTTGTTTTTGGGTCTTTGATTCCACTCCGATTGTGAGGTCCTGGGCTGCTGGAAAATAAATCCTGCTATTATGAAAGCCAAAACGTCCAGACCCATTACCAAAATTCAAACGGTCTGGTAAAGTGTGGCCCCCAGCTGAAGAGCAGCCGGAAGATAAACTCAACAAATTTGATTCTATGTGTGAATCAAAGAATCAGTTTTCGATTACTTCCAAGAGGTAACCACGTGGTCTGTCTGGAAGATAACTCAACAAATTTGATTCTGTGTGAATCAGAGAATCAGTTTTCGATTACTTCCAAGAGGTAACCACGTGGTCTGTTATAAGGATGTCCATTCGACATCTGATTTTCTAGCTTCAGGTAGTTCTATGGAAACTTAACACAGTAAGCACTTTTTAAGCGGCTTCCAGGAGAGAACGGTTGTTGTAATGTCTTTCAACATAACCAAAGGAAGTAATGTCAGCCCTTCCGATGACCCTGAGAGAAAGTAGCAAGAAGACATTTCTGAGACATCCTCGGTCTTGAGCTATAAAGACTCACTTTGCTGCTTTTCAACAAGCCATACTACTTAAACTCCTCCATACATCCCAGCCAGTAACTATCAAGTGCTGGCTTTCTGAGATTTTCCGGAACCGCAGGACAAATGTGCGTGACGTTAGCGACACTATGACCACTAATTAAAACATTTCGCGAGGCCAGACGAGTCCATTTAAATTTACCCCCATCCAATGAGTTTAAGTATTTTTATGAATAATTAACTACTAGCAGCAAGCAAAGTCCCACCAAATATCTGTTCTAGAAAATCATCACAAAGAATTTAGTATGTTTGTCCTTGTGCAGTGCTTCCATAAAAGTTCCACTTCCCCTGATGTCTGAATATCTGCTAAACTGTATAGTGGCATACCCGATTGGCCACCTGCTTCTTTAGAGAATGGATTTTGCGCCAATACTTAATGTTACCTCTTCAAATCTCCCTAGCTTGGCTTCCTCAGTCTCTTGAGCCTTTCAGATAAAGCGTCTGTAAGGTATAATGAATAAATGGCAAACTAATAACACGTGTACTGCAGAACCACCATTTGCTAATACGTGTCATGTTCGTGCTGCTCACAAAGAACCCACAGGTGCTTTCAACGAGCTTTCTGAAGTCTCTGGTCAAAGTAATATATAAAAATAACCTGAAATTTATCGGCTTTTTATCTTGTGCCATGTTGCGGCGATATCTCTCAAATGTGTTGATTTCTATATTACTTGAGCCATCTGAATGCGCATAGGCGCCGCCATCCTATTTGTCTTTTCATAGCATCAAGACCAGGCAACAATTCTCAACATGACTTGACCGTTTTGAGCCTACTTTTAGAGAAAATCGTAAAAGAAAACACAGAGATGTACACGAAGATATACCAGATGAAGCGTTTGTGATACATCTACCCTGTCTTCGAGGGTTGAATTTTTCCTTCAAAACAAACTATATTACTCCTTGGCAGTCAAAACAGATTCTCGAAACGCTCGGCGTTTGCAGCCAAAAGGAAATACAGTCTTTTTCCTTGTGGAGTTTTCTGAGAATGAGATTGCGTCGGTATTTTGTTCCAGCCACATTTGCTACGGAGCCCGCTTCTTGTGATTTCTCAGTTGTTATGGGAGTTGCTTATTTTTACGAGATTAAAACAATATAAATTACAGTTCAATTTACAACACGTTCAAAATCACAGATAATAAGTCGATACAAACACCATATTAGGGGGGTCTCCACCGCAAATTCGTGTATTAAAAAGGAATCGATCTGCATTAGCAACAAACGCGTGCGCAATAAGTGTAGTAACGCAGACTGTCGGAGGAAGTTCATAAACTGTCCTTCAGAATTGATCCGGCATGTCAGAAGTCAAACATTTATTAGGGACTGTAGGTGAATCCATATGAAGGACGGAAGAATCAAGAGATGGAAGCGCTTGAACGTTAGAAGATTTCACAACTCATGACAGAAGCAAGCGTAGTCTTACTTAGGCTGTTCTCACTGATCACCGCACACCAACAATGATGTGAAGCAATAATAATGCAACTGATTAGAGCCACAGTTACCTTACTCGGTCCGTTATTTGGTCTGCGGTGGCCAAGTTCCTAAGGTTTACTTAATTCCTCTAGTATACCTGTGGTTACTTAACCATCGAGTGTTTTGAGCCCTATCGTCCTGATGCACCTATCAGATCTGGAAGTACCGGTTTTTACAAACCCCATTCAAACATTTAATGCGTGTGTAGCCCTCTGGTCACCAACACCAACCCCCCACTGTGTATTTCAGCTGAGAGTCGTCCCCTCATGCCGCTTCTGAAACAATGTGAGGTTCTATCTCAGAAAGCGTCGCCAAGGGCTTCGGCATCTGTAGCCCAGTGTTTTTGTCGTACGCATGGATATTAATTACAGTGTCCCCTCACGCCGAGTTCTGTCCACCCTTTGGATTCGATGCCATATTTAAACTTTCCGAATTCTTCAGACGTTTGTGCCTCCCAGACATACCACTGATGGCCCTGAAGGTTGTGAGGGCGCAGTAACGCTGTAACATCTCACCGAATCGCTCGGCAAACAAGATCGCCTGAGAATTTTGATGTTTTTGCTCCTCAGTGCGGCAATCATTGGGTTAAATTTTTCCTCATTCCAGGTAGTAGCTGCGTGGCCTTCCGCCTACGGTTGTCCACGGCCCTTCTAGAACCCATTTCAAAGCGTTATTAGACACTTGTTTATACGAACTCTCGCGCTGGCAGGCATACTGCCCCGCGCTGAGAACATAAAGAGAAGTGCAACACCATTTCTTCACTTGTGCCTTTCAGGCAAACGACAGTGGCTGAACGACAAGAACAAAACCGACCCGGGAAACTTGGGCAAAAGCCTTGATTCTGTCTATCAATACGTGAATCCGTGATTCAAGCATGGAGAAGTGAAATACGATGACAATCGAAGCGACACACCTGACACTCGCTTGGGTGGATATTTGAAGCCGGTTCATAGTTCTCATAATAGAATCGTTAAAGCCGATGCATTCATATTCACTTCATAAGATTTAGCTACGCCCCTGCCATAGTCTTCTGAATGCTACGTTGACAAGCGCGCCGATTACAACATCACGGAGTTTAATGTCAAAATGCTCTGGCGGTCTGTTTTGGACCCAAACAAACACATCATTGGGTAGCTTTCACTAAGTGATAATGGTCAGGAAGGTGTACTCAATTTGTCAATGGAGTTCGATATTGAAAACAGTCATTTTCACCAGTACACCATAAGTTGGTGTTGCTTTCGGGTTCGTGGCGGAACTAATCGGATGTATGTCCACCTACCGCAAACAGACAGAACCAATAATTTCTCTCTGAATACCTTTGTGGGGAATACTGCGCGGAAAATATGGAGAGTGTGGGAAAGGCAAAGTATACAGACAGAACAATAATTTCTCCCTGAATACATTTGTGGGGAATACTGCGTGGAAAATATGGAGAGTGTGGGGAAGGCAAAGTATAACCGAAGTTATCAAATGTCCTAACTAAATATTCCATGTTACTATCAAGCGTTTCACTTCGTTTTCCTATGGGGAAACCATCGGGATCTGTCGACAAGGGTTTCTGAATTTATTGCTCCCACTCATTTGCACATATGTTTCTGTCGGGGGTTACATGAAACCTGGCGTAGGAATAAGGTAAACGCTGTCTGTCTAGGAGATCGCATGAATACCAAGCCAGTTACGTGTAGATATGGATTCAAGTTCATGACCCAATGGCGAGAGGACTGAAGACCAATCAGAATGCTAGTTTCATGCGCCAGCCACCGCCCTCTACGTTGAGTTCATTGCTCAGTGCTAGGAATCTTTGCTTCACGCGGACTTGATATTTAACCGGCATATGTGTGTTATAAATGATGCTGACAGAACGCCGACAAGGAGTGGAGAATCCAGCACAAAAACTGGATTCGTCGGATGACGAATTTAAAGTTCAGAGGATGGTCCGTAAAGTTTGCACCAGCCCGAAGCCTTCGCGATTGATTTTTGAGGGTGAGCATAATTCATGTCCCTTTTTGAATTAGGTTATGTGAGGCAGACTCCACTGAAGTATTGGACGTATTGGGTGTATTTGATTGAGGATTCCAATAACACTTTCAGCTGGACTGTTAGGTAGAGGAGCGAGTCAACTGGAATTCGCACATCAGAACACTTAATGGGAGGGTGATCAGTAATGTTTTCTTGAAATTTGAGACGCGAAATTTATGGAGTGAATCTCAGGGGATAGCTTAGCTTCCTTTTTACGGCTGGGAATCATACTGGATGTCCTGTTGCGTTTGGACGGGAAATATCAGCTACCAGTTCGGTTGCATGATGTGCTGCCGAATGCGGTGTGATGAAAGAGAAGAAACGGTTAGATGTGATACAACATAAACAGTAGAATGGGAAATCGCAATGTGCTAGAGTTCAATTAGGCGATCGTCTAAGAGGAGCTTGAAAGATTATACGTAGGAAATGCTTCGCCGCGCGAAGCACAATTAGTTTTCTTAGTAATACAAATTTGAGTTTGGGTGCAGTGGTTTCAGTATCACTTGAAACTTTATTGCTTACAGCGATGGAGGAACCTGGTTGCGCGTAAATCAGGGTCCACTTAGTTGTGACCAGCTATATGACCACCGCGTTTACCGAATGTTAGAGGAGGAATGCGGCCCTCATTTTTGAACAGGAGATACCCCGAGGCGTAGAACAACCGACCAATTCTAACACAATAACGTAGTGTTCTGGATTTAGTGCTGTACTTATTACGCGGGTTGCGCTGGCCACAACTTCGTCCCACAGGTTGCAACCATTCCAGGTGGTCTGAAGAGGAACAGTCACACCCACCTCAACTCCATACTATGGGTGATGGTCTTAGGAAGCGATCTGGACATAAGGTTATGCTGTCTTGTCCGATGGTAGCGTGGAGGCAGTAAGGTATTCCCACTAGGCGATCAGCCTGTCCATATTCATGGGGGCAGTGATGCTGCCTACCTTCAAGAAAAATCAGTTTAAGAGAGACTGGCCATAAGAACCTTAAACTCCGGTCGCCCAACGGGTGACGTGACCACGTGCACTTAGTCCAACACCTTCAGTGCGCTTCAAACGCATTTGTAGTGTGCAGCAACATCAGGAGTGAGAAGTGCATGCCTTAGGTCAAACAAGCAAGTTAGTTTGTTTTATCATGGTCTTTGGTCAGGGTCTCCCAAGAAAACCTTACTGCCCGCTGCCTCGTAGAATAGGCCTTTCAGTCAGAGGCTAGGTGTAGGGTCCCTAAACAAAACGCCAAATCCTCCTCCGATCATGTTTGTCAAACTTTTGAGTCAAAGTTCCAGGGAGAAGTACACAAAAGAAATCCTCTTCGGCCTGGGACATCGGGAAGAATAATTTGACCCCACAGTTTTTCGTTCACCAATCTACTTCCCTAGTATCTTCCCACTCTACTGACAAATATCGCTGAATCATTCGATGTGCTGATGTGACCCTGTCTATGTCTGAGCGCCCTGGCAGAATTCCGTCCCACATATAACCATAACACCTACAACTAAAAATACTCCCATACCATATCGTCCATCGCGTGATTCCGCCAACGTGGTCGCCCTAAGTGCTGCATACAACACAGCGGATAGGCGAAAACACACTACTACCAACGCCTCTCTCCGTACACGTTCAAGTTTCCCCTCTCCCTCTCGGTATTGAATACTCCTTCCGCAGGTCCCAGCACTAGGACTGACCGGAATTCCGTCCCACATATAACCATAACACCTACAACTAAAAATACTCCCATACCATATCGTCCATCGCGTGATTCCGCCAACGTGGTCGCCCTAAGTGCTGCATACAACACAGCGGATAGGCGAAAACACACTACTACCAACGCCTCTCTCCGTACACGTTCAAGTTTCCCCTCTCCCTCTCGGTATTGGAATACTCCTCCGCAGGTCCCAGCACTAGGACTGACCGCAGTGTTTATAGTGCACCACGCCACCTGCAGCTTCTGTACGCTCGGCTGCAGTAACAGCTCTAACCATTTCGAAACCTGTTTTGAAACCCCGAAAGCAGGACAACAGATAGCTCTTGCTCGTACGTTGGACGTATGCTCTTTGTCAAAAACAAGGATACAGGGCGCAAGTACGGTGACTGAACTAACTGCCATCTCATTCTCTTCCAGGTTTCGGCTGCGCACCTTTGGTGATGCATACACCAGCCGCTGCAGCTGGATATGACCGATTGGGTATTGTAGTGAGCTAGCGAGTGGAAGCGTCTCTAATTGATTGGACACCCGTTGATAGTCGCCTCCGCGCGGTTCGTTTGGCAACCTATGAGATCTCGAGAAAATGAGATCCATCGCAACCTACTTATTTCCTCTGCTCATGCCCCAAAAGACTGTAGCTCTGAATCTGCCAGTGTTTCTGATACGCCCTAGGTGCTCTTTTGAAGCGCACTAAAAGTCCAGACATCCTGGTGGTTGGTGGTGACTTGAACGCCTAGGTAGGCAGAATAAGCTTTGCTGAGGCCCATGTGGGTGGTCGTCTTGGGTTGGATACGAGACACACAGATAACGGAGATCGTCTACTTTAGATGTGCGCTGATCACGTACTTTCTTTGCAGTACCCATTTCCGGAGCAGCGGAAATGCTTGACGTGGTGCCCACATGTGAACCAGTTCAGAATCCAAATTAACTACGTAATCAGTTACCGACAGATAGGGTCAATCACTGCCTGGAATACCAGCATGGACTCCGACTATGCCTCGCTGCTTCTCATTGCGCTTTTCAGGTCTACACAAAACATACACACTGCTTAGTTATTGAAAAGCTAAGAAGCTTCCAGAACCGGCTTCTCGAATGCCTGTCGAATGGTCGGATAGTGAGGGTTACTAGGAACGGATATGCTACTCAGAGCTTTGCGGTATAACCTTCCAGGATTGGGGCCCGTGACCACTCTTGCACGAAGCTGGAGACATTGCGGGAAATGGCGAGATGGCTCAGTGGTTAGAGCGCGAATTTTTACTGACCGGAAGGTCCGTGGTTGGAACCCTACCCTTGCATCTCGAATCTTACCATCTAGGCTTGGGAAACTTGGCCGTATCCCAGCCCTCGTGCTTCCCTCGGCTGGCATGACAGCTAGGCACCGAAAGGTTGTTACAGCTGCATGATTATTTTTAAAAATCTTAATCCTAAGGCTTGAGATATAATTAGATAGACTTTGTGGTTGTGCGGCAGTGAGAAGTCAGTCTCAACACTGATGTTGCTGTGTCTGATGATGATGCTGATGACCGATGTGTCTTATCGAGTCCGCTTCCCATTAACAATAAACAAAGTAGAACTTCTAGATTCGCGACATCCTTTTAGCGTTCATACTCTCAAATTATCAAAAAGGCAATCATTTTCTAGACCTTATCTGTCCTTTGATTGGTGTATGCTATGACTCCGGGACACACCTACAAGACCCAAGTATGGTCATGCATCTCAAAGTGCTAAGGGTGAACTCGGTTCATTCACTCCTCACTCCGCGTGCCCGGTGATTCAGAGTTGGTTACTGGTAAAATAAATGGCGGTTTGCACTCAGCCACAGAGCTGGATACGTTTTGCTGGCCTGGATTCCAGTGAACAGTTCTCTTTGCGCCGTTCGGTCACCAAGCTCAGTCGTGCTTAATACCCTTCTGTTTTTACTGTTGGCAAATGCCTGAATGGACTTCAGCTCTAACGCTGCGAAGGGTACTTTCTGTCAAGAGTTGTCCGGGCTCGATCGTCAAGCAACAAGCCAGCCAACAATAAGTTCGATGGCGCACGGAAATCCAAAAACAAATATTGAAGAGGCTAAAGAAAGACGGATTGGTTTACTATGCACTTTGCATTCACAGAGTGTAAGGTCACTAAACGCGCCACTTACAATCCGGGCAGAGGCTCAAAGTTGTGGAGCGTTTCACGCAAACCTTGGCGTCTGATGCTTCGTGGTAAGCTGCCTGATGTCGTATGATGCTGACAGCTTCCTGTCGCTCAAAATACCTTTATTCTTACCTTCACTTACTCAAAACTGGACCGCGTATGTGTGCGCCAACAGTTTTTGAATCCCCTCATTGCACGTGGTCAAGTCTGGTGGAACGAGCAGTTTGCTGCGGGATGGGCTGGTGTACGTGGGGTTAGGTTGGCGTAATCTGGCAGCTAGACGTCTGATAAGCGGTACGACGTGGGGATAAACAGAGGTGGCAAATAATTTTCCGCTGTGGAAGTGAATGTTCTCATTGCAACTTTGCTCAGCACTAGGGACTTGAGGTAGCTCAGTGGTTAGGGCACCAGCTTACGGATCGGAAGTTCCTTGGTTCGAACCATATCTCAGCAGCTCGACTGTTCCCGTCTAGGCTTGGGCAACTTGGCAGTAACCCAGCCCTCGTTCCTCCTTCCGTGGACATGATGGCTAGGCACCTGAAGAGTTTTACAGCTGAACGATTATCCCTTTTTAGGGACTTGATGGTCTAATTCAAGTGCGGAATGAATACCTGGAATGACCGTGGGAATGCTGTCGGTGAAGTGAACAGCAACAGCAACACTGTCACCACAAGTTGACGATAGAACCCTTCAATCAGACAGTTTGCTTTGACATAGTATGCGGTAGTACGAATGCCATGATGACCTAACATATTAAGAGTCCCAGAAAACTAGCCCGAATGGAATAATCTTGCCGGCGGCCTTGAGGGACTGGACAGCCGTACACTGTCACCCAACGTTCCATAAACCATCGGACAACGATTTCACCGTTTACGGATGGCCTCGGGTCATCGAGTATAGCAGTAATTAATAGATCACACCGTTGGAGAACAGCAAATACTCGACTAAGTCTATATGGCTGGGGACCAAACGAGAGCTAATGGGCGACGGCGTGATGTTGTATTTCAGCCCGTTGGCAATCCAAACAAGTTATGGCCCACTGGCGTGTATTTTTCTGCATGCTGAGCTGGACATACTGAGCTGAGATCAGTTTGGCCATGGCACGGACCCTGGGCGGGTAATATCA